GAGGGTCAGTTCCAACTGGATGGTACACAACACAGTATTAGAATAGTAGAGGTGTCTCGTGCTGCCGCTACAGATTTGTAGTTGGTATTGCGTGCTTCCTGTGAACCATCGAGTTGGAACTGACCCACAGCTGACCCTCCAGTGGGTTCTCAGAGGCAGTTAATCGCACTGGAGGAGATTGCCCATCCTTCTCCCATGGAGCAGCTGGTGGCCTCGAACCGTGTGCCTTCAGGATTAAATATATTAATACTAGAGTATTAGAGTGATCTCATGCTGCTATGACAGAGGGACCACAAACGAATGTATTTAAAAAACAGACATTTGTTCTCTTATCACTTAGGAGGCGTTAAGGCCTAATTTAGGATGTCAGCTGTAGGAGAAGGCCCTCCCTTCAAGAGGTGTTACAGGCCACAACCTAAGGAAACAGCATCTTTCACCTGTCAAGACTGTGGTGGGATTCAGGGGTGCTGTACTCCCTGGATTATCTTCATACATGTCTTTGGCCCGTCAGCTCATAGAGCATTCCGTAGCGTCTACGTTATATCATTCTATGCATGGATTTTGGGGGGATGAAGTTCAGTCCATGCCAGGGTACATGAGAAACGTCAACACATGACCGAGGTGGGCCAGGTATTGACAAATAGGCTCTGGAGGAAGGAACCCTGGGGACAGAAGGGTTTAACTGCTTGGCCACTAACAGAAAGGTTGGGGGTTTGAGCCCCAGGGACTCTACGAGGAAACAACACGTGTCCCTCTGCTCGTGCGAAGCCTGTTGCCGTCAGGTGCTGTCGAGTCCAGCTTCGCCACCTGGTGACGCTGTGAACCGCAGGTCTGAGTCCTGCCCGACCCTGCAGTGTGACCATCGTCTCTCTCTCCTCCTCACGTCCATTCTTACCGTCACTGGATCAATCCATCTTGTTGAGACTCATCCTCAGAAAGACCCAGTATTGATGCCTTTTCCTCCACACCTGACTCCTCCTGACGACCCGCCCAAGGTCTGTGAGATTGAAGGTTCACCATCCTTGCCTCTGAGGAGCAACCTGGTTGCATTTTCTCCAAGACAGACTTATTTGTTCTTTTGCCAGTCCGTGGGACATTCAGTACTCTTCTCCAGTGCCACAGTTCAAAGGCATCGGTTCTTCTATCATCCTTACTCACTGTCCGGTTTTCACAATTACTTGCTATGATTCAGAGAGCTGGACAGTGACTAAGGATGACAAGAGAGTCGATGCCTTCCAAGTTGTGGTGCTGGAGAAGAGTCTTGAACATATCATGGGCTGCCAAGAGAACAACAGGTCTATCTTGGAGAGAGTGAAACCAAGTTTCTCCTTGGAGGCAAGGATTTTGAAGCTCCGTCTCACATACTTCGAGCACGTGGCCAGGAGGTGTTGATCCTTGGAGTAGGACAGCATGCTCAGAAGGTTGGAGGGACAGTGCAGGAGAGGAAGACCCCTGGATGAGATGGATTGATACAGGGACTAGGCAATGGGGGTTGATGTATCAGTCATTGAGACTGGCTCAGAACAGGGCGGGGCTTCAGAGCTGCTGTACTTGGGGTCGCTGTGCGTCTCAGGCAACTTGACAGCACGTAACAACAGGACGTAATTGAAGACATCTGCATTTTCCCTGTTGAGTGGCTATGAGTATGTATAACTCCACAGCACTACATGTCCCAAAGAGATCCTCTGCCTAACTTTGGTGTACTGGGGTGCTTTTCAGGCCACCTGGTAGCTGTTTATTCATGTCCAGCCAGTGGGGGCTTTTAGCAGCCTATAGTGTCAAAAGGAGTTAGAAGATCCTTCTCAGTAATGAGAAGGAGGGGAGAAGTCTGACGTTTTTGAAGATTCCAAAGAATCTCTGCCCGCCTTCCTGATCGTTTTAGTAGCATTTCTCCCCGTAGCCCTGGGAACTGAACTCCAGTGTTGCTGTTTTGACGCACCGCCAGGCAGAGCCTGCGTGAGTGATGGGACGGGAATAATTCGCAGTGCGTATGCGGTTACCAGGATACCACTGGCCAGAGTGCTGATAAACAGCTTGCTTTTTAAAGCCTCATTTAAAAAAAAAAGAGTTCTTGTAGATCATCCTAACCCCTGGCTGGCTCCAAATTTGGAGAGCTACACAGAAGAGCAGGGACTGTTACCGGTGTTCAAACAAATAGCGTCTGCTTTGCGCTAGACAGTGTGGCACAGAGAGGGTAAGCCGCTTTCCCGAGGTCACACAGCTTCCAGGTAGAGGACCTCAGATGCCTGTCTTGATGTTCTGGCTCCAGAAGCAACACCTTTCCAGGGAAGGCTGTCTGGGGTGTTGTTGGTAGGTGCCCCAGATTCTGACTCACAGCGACCCCGTGTGTACAGAGCAGACCTTGCTCCCTAGACCGGTGAACTTCTAGAAGCAGTTTTCAGCTACTACTTCTGAGATGCCTCTATATGGGCTTGAACCGCTCTGGTGGCTTAGGCCATGGTGAATTGCTCTGCCAACCCAGAGGTGTGCGGTTCAAATCCACCAGCTGCTCCGTGGGAGAGAGAGGGACAGTCTCTTCCTCCTCAGATTATGACCTCTGAAAACCAGAGGCCACACCAGGCCTTTGGTGATTCGAATCCCATCAGGTCTTCTCAGGAAGAAGACGGGCGAGTGCAGCCTGTATAATATATCTCCCCCAGAAACTCAGTGGAAGGCAAGGTCAGACACAATGGCAGTGACTTTGACTCTGGCTAGAAGTTGAGCCTTAATTGTTTGTGCCATTCCAGGACTCCTCGAGCGTGACTGTTGTTGTTATAGTAGTTGTGGTTGTTGTTAGGTGCTGTCCGGTTGAACACGACTCAGCGCAACCGTATGAACAACACCAGCTCTGCAGCCTGGCCTGACTTGGGCCGTCCTCATCCTCTCTGACACACTTAAGCCCGTTGCTGACAATGGGTGTGTATCAGTCCTTCTGGCTTAGTGGTAAGGAGTTGCGTTGCCAACCCAGAGGCACGTGGTTCGATCCCACAAGCTTCTCTATGGGAGAAAGATGAGCCGTCTCCTCCTGTGCAGTTTACAGCCTCTGAGAACCCACTGGAGGGTCAAGCTGTGAGTTAGTTACAACCTGATGGTCCGTAATAGCAATAAGATGTGTGAATAGAGGGTACCTTACTGGGTAGCCGAGGTCTTGGGGATGATGGGAAAGCAGGACTCTTGAGAGAGTCCAGGAAGAGCTTCCTGCTAGAACAGCCATCAAGAAGGGAAACTGAAAGAATTTGTTCAAATTTGTATTTGAATTTTGTAAAAACTAAGGTGCGCCTCATCCAGGCCATGATCTTTGCAATCACTTGCTGTGCACCAGAGAGTTGGACTATGACGAGGGAGGATAGAAGAATTGATGCCTTTGAGCTGTGGTGCTAGAGAGGAGTATTGAATATACCATGGACTGCCAGGAGAACAAACAGGTTTGTCCTGGAGAGGGTGAAGCTAGGCTGCTCCTTGGAGGCAAGGATTCTGAGGCTTCGTCTAACATAATTTGGACATGTTGTAAGGAGGGACCGATCCTTGGAGAAGGACATCATGCTTGGGAGGGTGGAGGGACAGTGCAGGAGAGGAAGACCCTTGATGAGATGGATTGATTCAGTGACTGGAGTAATGAGGGTAGGTGTGTCGGAGATGGTGAGATTGACACAGCATAGTGCGGAGTTTAAGAGTTTAGGGCTGTTGTACATAGGGTTGCTATGAGTTGCAGGCAACTCAATGGCATATAACAACAACAACAAATAAACTAATAGAAAATTTAAAAAAACAAACAAAATAAAGGACACAACAATCATTTGTCTATTTGCTGTACTGAACAACAACAACAAAAAGTAACTTGATAAAAAAAAAAAGAATTGAAATCTGAAAGATTATAGGAGGAGAGCTCTGGTGGCCTATTGGTAAGAAGCTGCACTGCAATCCCGAAGGCACCCAGTTCAGTTCCACCTGCTGCTCCACGGGAGAAGGATGGGAAATATCTTCCTGTGTGATTTCCTGCCTCTGGTGACTGCACTGGAGGGTTGGCTGTGGGTTGGTTCTGCCTTAACAACACACAACATAGGAGGTGAAGAGTGGCAGTTCCGTAGGCTGGGGGTATAGAGGGGGTAGAATGGGGCTGCGGCAGCCAGTGGGAGAGGCATCAGAGGTACTCGTCACCCCATGACCGAGCCCCGTCGGCCCCCCTTCAGATGTTTGGCCTGCACACTGAAGGCTGAGGGAGGGCACCATTGAAATGATTGCGGCAGGCTCTGACGTGCAGGGTCGGATTTCTGTTTTGGAATGATGGATGGGAAAGAGAGCATGTGGGATGGGTGGAGATGAGGTGAGCCCAAAGAATGTTGCCGGAGTGAGAAGAAGCCTGGCCAGGGATGGAATGTTCTAGAAGGAGATCGACGTCCATGGCATGTGGGGGTGAGGGTGTCAGGAGATCTTGAGTCTGAAGTTTGCCTGTGGAGGGAAGAGACCCATTCTGACACACTTCATTTGGATCTTAAACCCTGCAGGGGAGGCTCACAGTAGGGAAATGGGGCCAGTGTGTTTCTGGGGACACCATTTATCCCTGGCTGTCCGCAGGAAGGGATTTGCTGCCTTACGCCCCAGTTCTACCCTCAGGATCCCGTGGAACTTGCCCTTGTGATTTCTGGAGGTGTCATCCGAGAGGACTCCCTGTCTTCCAGGGTGTTTGAGGGGGTGGGAAGGAGCGGGCTTTGCAAAGCTGCCTGGCTGGCTGAGTGAGGACAGAGCTGGTGTCTCCTGCACACTGTGACCGCAGAACAACCCATGAGAGACTGAGACCCAGACACGGGGGGTCCTTGCCAGACCGCACAGCTAGGGGAGCAGAGGCAGGCCTCACTCCCAGTGGTCAGTGGCCCCCGCTAAGTTAGCACACACCTAAGACAGACTAGTTAATACGCTCAGCGGTCAGCCAGAAGCTTGGAGGTCACAGCACTGCCCCCCCATCAACCCCCCTGTCTGAGCACTGCCCCTTTGTCTTGCAGGACCAGCTGAAGCAGTGTTTCTCCAGGCGGCCACCGGAGGCCAAGGACACCGACACTCTCGTGCGGGAGAGCGACAGTCAGTACGGGACGTGGACGGAGCCTCGTCAGAGCGCAGAGAGGTAGAGGGGCAGCTCCAGTGTGGGGAGGGGGTTATCCGCACAGGGCCAGGCTTGTGCTGCTTACCCAAAGCCGGGTGGTTCGAATGCTGCAGCTGCCCTACAAGGGAAAGATGGACAGACTCCTCTCCTGTGACTTACAGCCTCTAAACCCCCTGGAGGGGTCAGCTGTGAGTCAGTTCTAACTCATTTGCAAACAACAGCATGGTTAATCTCAAGAGAGGAGATGGCTATCTTTTCCCGATAGCTGGTAGATGCCACCAGTGTGTGTGTGTGTGTGTGTGTGTGTGTGTGTGTGTGTGTGTGTGTGTGTGGTGTGTGTGTGTGTGTGTGTGTGTGTGAGATTGTTCCATGGTTTCTTCTAAATCCAGCTTGATTTCTGACAGTTCTTAGAGAAGTACTCCTCCAGGCATCTTAATAATCTTCAACAAGACTTTGTGTGGAACATTAATGATATTGTTCGATTTCAGCATTGTGTTGGATCCCTTTTTTTTAAATGACCATGAATATGCATCTCTTCCAATCAGTTGACCAGATTTCCAAATTTCTTAGCGCAGACGAGTGAGCATGTCCAGAGCTGCGTCTGTTTGCTAAAACCCCTCAATTGGTGTTCCATAAATTCTAGAAGCTTGATTTTGGTGTTGTTGTTGTTTTTTAATCAGTTCCTTCAGTGCGACTTGGACTTCTTCCTTTGCTACTTGATCATGGCTCTTGATCTTTTAACAGTTGAATGTCGACCAATTCTTTTTGTTACAGTGACTCTAATCTTCTGCTACTCCCTTGGTTTATGCAACCTTTATGGCTCATAGACTATTTCAGTATTGTGACTTGAGACTTAAAGTTTTTCTTCAGTTCTTTTTTTTTAAAATTTTCTTTATTTTTTGTTATTTTTGTGTTTGTACTATCAAATCAGGTCTGACTGGTACAGGAGGAGATTGCCCCTCCTTCTCCAGAAGAGCATCTGGTGGATTCGAACTGTGTACCTCTGGGATTGCAGTGCAGTTTCTTGACACTAGGCCACCAGAGCTCCCTTTGTTCAGTTCTTTCAGCTTGAGAAATGCCACGCATGGTCTTCCCTCTTGATTTTCTAACTCTACGCCTTTGAGACACTTCACTATAATACTTGCTCTGTTTTATCTTGCTGCTGTTTTGAACCTTTTGTTCGGCTCTCTAACTTCATCTTTTCTCCCTTTCGCTTTACTTTCTCTAGGTCCTGTAGCAAGATCCAGAGTCTTTTCTGACATTTTCGGGGTTTGCTTCTTCCCTATCTTTTTAATACGTTTTTGCCTTCTTTCTTAATGTACAGCATTCTATTTTTTTTAAATGTAAGTTTTTTCTTTTTTGTTAATACTTTAATGAAAGTTCACAGAAAACAGATTTCTGTTCATTCATTGTTGCACATTTTCCTCCTTGCCTACTCCCCCCTCCCCAGTTTGCCTGGCTCTTTAAAAAATTCATTCTTTGTTGCAGCTTCCTCCCGCCCCCCTGCCCACCAGTCCACTTTGCTCTGTACTTCTTATACTAGACTGTTGTCATGCAAATGATACCTAATCATGTATTTCTTTTAAGCAGTTCTTTCCCTCATCTGTTTCAATGCTGTGCACATCATTTATCCCTTTTTCTTAGATTCCCCCAAACCCCCATGTCAGTCCTGTTTTATAACAGTGGCATTATGCGGTATTTGTCTTTTTTTGACTGAGATATTTCACTCAGCATAATGTCCTCCAGGGTCACCCATGTTGTGTAATATGTTATGAGTTCCCTGTTTTTCAGTGCTGCGTGGTAGACGTGCGGCATTCTCGATATCATCCCACATCTGGAGTGGTCTCTACTCAGTGCATCAAATCCGTCCTTGACATTGTCTTTTCATTCTGGTGCAGTCTCTTCAGGCCCTCGTGGATTTGTTTTCATTCTCTCCATCTTCACTTTGAACTTGCATATGAGCAATTAGCCCCTGACCTTGCTCTGAGTGATAACGTTGAGCTTTCCCACCTTTTCTTTCCCCAGATTGAGTCATTTCCACGCCTGTGTATTCTCTTTGGTGAGGTCCATGTGTATAGTTACCATTCATGAGGCTTTATTCAAAGGTGTTTGCAATTAACAAGTTCTTGTACAGAATTCTGTCGTGCAACCTCTGGCCTTATTTGTGTCACGAGGTCATATATTCCAACTCTCAGTGTTCCCTCATTTCTAACTCTTACATTCTAGTCACCAGCTGTTATTAATGTCCTTGCATGCATGTTCTATCAGCTTCAGACTGTGAAAAGTTGATACACATCTTCAACTGCTTTATCTTGGAGTTTAGTGACTGGCACAGACACTTGAGTAAGAGTCATAGGAGCAATCTTCTCCTGATGGTGGTGGTTATTAAAGTGCTGTTAAGTCAACCACATAGCGACTCTATGAATAGTGATTCTGAACCCCTTCCTGTCCTGGGCCCTCCGTCCTCATCTTCGCTGACATACTTAAGTCTGTTGTTACTGTCACCGTGTCGATGCATCTCATCGAGGGTCTTCCTCTCTTTCACTGACCCTCCACCTTTCCCACCACGATGTCCTTTTCCAAGGACTGACCCCTCCTAAAGTGGGCCCCAAAGAAGTGAAATGAATGGCAAGCTCTGGTGGCCTAGTGGCAAGAAGCTGCACTGCAATCCCAGAGGTGCACGGTTTGAATCCACCAAATGGAGAGGGAGGGACAATCTCCTCCTGTGCCAGTCAGGCCCGATTTGATGGTACACACATAAAGAATAATAAAAATTAAAAAAAAAAAATAAGTGACATGAAGCTTCACCGCTGTGGCCTCCAAAGCACATCTTGGTTGCACTTTATCCAAAACACATTTGTTTGTTCTGTTGGCACTTTATGAAAAACTCAGTGCTCTTCTCCAGCACCACATCTCAAAGGCGTCGATGGGTATGAGTGTTACGCTCCCACCAACAGGGTTGTATTTCAGGCGAGGTCTTGAGTTGAAATGCTCTTTTTGGGAATGAGTGCCTCACCGTTCCCCCTCACTGTGTCATCTCCCATGCGGTAAACCGTATCTCTGTCTGATGAGCATGGCCGATACCAATCCATTTCCGCTCACTAATGCCCGAGCTCTTAATCTTTTAGATTGGAAGCAGGATTGGCAGCCACTTCCTAAACAACACGCCTCTATGAACTTTGATAAATGTCGAAAGTTCTAGAAGGGCTTCAGGCCTTTTGTTCATAGGGTCACTATGAGTCGTGCTCGACTCGAAAGCTATCACCAACAGCGACAACAATGCCCAAGCCACCAATCTATGCTCTTCATTGGATTTTTCACAACTTCCAGTTTTCTTAGATGTCATGTCTCATACATGCCACTCGCCTGCTGTGTTGTCACCTTGTGGTGACTTTGCATGTTATACTGTGATATAGAAAGCTTAGGCCACCACTATTTCAAAGACCAGCAGGGTTACCCAGGGTGCCCAGGTTTCAGCTGATCTTCCGGACAAGGAGAGACGAGGAAGCAAGATTCAGGAAGCGCTCACTTCTGAAATAATGGAAACCGTAGAAACAGCGTCAGACACTCTGTGATGCAGTGCAGAAGACAACGCCCTCGACTCCGAAGGCCTTCCGGCTCTGGCTGGAGAAGAGATGCTTCCTCAAAGCAGTGTCAACCGTGATGACGGAGATGTGGAGTAAAGCTCTCGGGCAATGAAGGACCTTCCCCTGCTAATGGGACTCCGTTCACAATGAGGAGAAACAGCTGTACACATCTGTTCATCGTCGGAACATGGGAGACGTCAAGTATGACTCTGGGAAATGGCCCAGCTCTACTTAGAGAAAAACAAAAACACTGTTGCCTTTGAGTGGACACCAACCCCCGTGTATTGTCAGAGCAGAGCCCAGGTCCCAGGGTGTTCAGAAATTAACGGTCAATTCTCTTTTTTTTTAAAATGGATTTATTAATTGGTCTGCATACAGTCAGTAATGGCATGCAATTGTTGTGTTTCATTCTTGTAAATTGTGTTTTATATATTCATTGTATTTTATATCATTCACGTTTGTTGATCTTAGAGGGAGTGCAGCCGGAGTGCTCTTTGGAGGCAAGAATGATGAGGCTTTGCCTCACATGCTTTGGACATGTTGCTAGGAGGGGCTCTTCCTTGGAAAAGGAAATGATGCTGGGAAGGGTGGAGGGTTGTCAAAGGAGAGGAAGACCCTCAACCAGGTGGACTGATACGGTGACTACAGCAGTGGGCTCTTGTGTGTCAGGAAGTGTGAGGATGGCGCAGGATAGAACAGGGTTCAGATCTTTTGTTCATAGGGTTGTACTCAGCTTGACAGCACCAAGCAACAATTGATCTGTCACCACATCTCATCAAGTCTCCATTGAGCCTTTCCTATTACTTCACTTTCTGTCTGCCCACTGACCTGTGATTTCCTTTTCTCTGATCCCTTCTCCCTTTCCTATTTCAACAGTTACATCTCTCTATCTATCTATCTATCTATCTATCATCTATCTATCTATCTATCTATCTATCTATCTATCTATCTCTATCTGTATCTATCTATCTTCTATCATCTGTCTATCTAACTTGCTCAGTTACCCTCCTGTTTCTGTTTTCACAATAAAGATCTTAGGCAGTATTTGTCCTTATGTGACTGAGATATTTCCCTCAGCATAATGCTCTCTAGACTCTCCCATGTTATATAGTATTTGACAAAATTGCTGTTACTCAAGTGCTGCATAGTATTCCACTGTGTGGTCGTCCCACAGTTTCTCACCATTTAGGGCTGCCTCCATTTTTTTTCTGTTGTGACTAACGCTGCTATGAGCATAAGTGTACACAGCACCCTTCTAATTTCCTCCGAGTATATTCCTCCTAATGCAATAGCTGGGTCATACAGGATTTCTCATACAGCATTTTGAAGAAATGCCAGGCTGCCTCCCAGAGTGATTGTACCGTTTCTCAGCGCCACTAGCCTTGCATGAGTGTTCCAATTGCTCTGCCTTCTCTCCAACCTTTATTATTTGCAGGCCTTTCTTCTGAGCTGTGTCTCTGGGTGGCCTTGCCCTCCAACCTTTAGATTAGCATCTAACAGGTTAACCATTGACCACGTGCAGCTCCCAGGCACCCTGCTTTTACAGAGTAGCCAGTGTTCCTTGATCTGTGCCGCTGTCACTGTGCTAAACGCTTAGACCTGTCTGCTGCTTTCCTTAATCCTGTTCCAGGGGGAAACTGAGGCATCCCCCCCACTGCATTCAGTTCTGCGAAGGATAATAGTTTGGTGATAGAAGTTCGAGCATTAGTAGCAGATGCTTCATGGATTTTCTCTGTTGTTTTTAAAATACCACTCCCCCCTCTCCCTCTTGGGTACAATGGTGGCTTTGGGGACACCCGGAAGGTGTCCGAGCAGATGCAGTCCGCCTTCCCCAGACAAAAGCTTGGAGGATTGAAATGTCTTAACGCCAACTCCCAGACAGAAAACTGAAACTTGGAGTCAGTACTGTCCGCCCAGCTTCTCTATGGCTGGACTGGAACCCAGGCCTCCTGTCCCTCGTCCGGTGTGATCATGCCCCACCGTGGCATTGCGTCCCCCAGCGATTAAACACAATACTATTCAATCAGAACCAAATGGTAGCTGACCCTCCAGCGGGTTTGGAGGCTACTAATACTGAGACCTTCTCAGGACAGGGCGGGGTTCAGAGCTTCTGTGCATAGGGTCTCAGTGGGTCACAGGCGACTCAGCGGCACATAACAATAACAACAACGTCACAGACTAGATCACCCATTTTTTTTCTCCTTCAGTGCAGTTGGTGGATTTGAACTTCCTGCATTTGGGTTGGCAGCACAACCTTCTACCCACCCAGTCACCAGAGCCCCTCCCAATATTCTGTTAAAGCGGGCCCCCTATCTCCCCGAGGCTGGTGGAGTTGAAAGTATGTAAGAAAGAGGAAGCAGAGATTTCTGAAAGTGCCTGAGAACCCTTTTTTTGGGGGCCCCCATGGTGGACAGTGTTTGGTGGAACTCCCCAGTTAAAACAAGCTTGGAAGCAGGAGTGGCATCCACTTCCACAACAGCTTGCCTCCAGAAACTCTATGAACCTGGAGAAAGGATGAAAGTTACACAGGTGTCCAGGTATTTCGTTCATAGGGTTGCTATATGAGTCGCCTGTGACTCAATGGCACTTAAAAACAACAATAACCAGAGAAAGAGGGCAATGTCCTTGTGTGATTTACAGCCTCTGAAAACCCATTGGAGGGTCAGCTCTGAATCCGTTCAGATGTCACGTAACCACAACCGAAAACCAATCTATGAAATATTATCATGAGCACAGATCTTAGTGGTGCTGTGGTTACTGGAATTTAGATGGTTCAGATCCCCCAGCTGCCCCAGGGAGAAAGCTGTGACCATCAGCTTCTGAGAAGATATGCAGCCTTGGGAGCCCTGGAGGGGAAGGAGGTGGGTGTCTTTCTAAGCTGCCCAGCATGGCTGATGGAAAAAGAGCAAAGGGAGCAGAGGTTTGGGAGGTGCATAGGGAGAGCGCTCCCCCCTTCCCGCCCCCCACTTCTCTCTTCTTTTGAAATACAATCAGTGAATTAACCTTGAAGGCTTTTTGAGCTGTCCTGATCTGGGATCCTGGGAACCTGGGGTCTTTGCATCTTATGATGAGACTGCTGAAGCCAGTGTCTCTCTGGCCCTAATGCCCCAGTTCTTAGGGGAGGGCTGAGACCTGGTCACCAGCACCCGGGAGTTCCCACGTGCAGTCTGCTGGCTTAATCCTGCCGCCTCCTGTCCTGAACCCTCTGAGGACCATCTGGGCTTCCCACTGTGGGGTGATGGCGCCATCTGCTGCCTCCCCGGTCATATCGCCCACATTTTTGTCTGGTTTGAGGCCAATCCCTCCCACATCCCTCCCCAGCCCTTCTTCTCCATTGCTGTAGAGTCAAAACCAATTCCTAGCTGACCCTCCAGCAGGTTTCCAGAGTCCGCAAATCACAGATTGCTCACTTTTTTTCCTGCGAAGTAACTAATGGGATTCGAACCTCCCGTCTTTGGGTTGGCAGCACAATTCATTACCTATTAGGCCACTTATTGTTGTTATGTGTCATCAAGTTGCCTGTGACCCATAGCGACCCTATGCACAGCAGCTCTGAATCCTGCCCTATCCTGAGCCGGTCTCACTAATTCCAACACACCAACCCCCATCGCCCCAGTTACTGTATCAATCCATCTCATTGGGATCTTCCTCTCCTGCACTGTCTGTCCACCCTTCTGAGCGTGATGTCCTTCTCCAAGGACCGGTCTCTCCTGGCCACATGCCTAAAGTATGTGAGACAGAACTTCAAAATCCTAGCCTCCAAGGAGAAACTTGGTTTCACCCTCTCCAAGACAGACCTATTTGTTTTCTTGGCAGTTCATGGTATGTTCAAGACTCTTTTCCAGCATCACAACTCAAAGGCATTGATTCTTCTTCTGTCGTCCTTAGTCATTGTGCAGCTCTCTGATGCATACTATGTAATTGTGAAGACCGTGGCCTGGGTCAGGCGCACCTTAGTGTCTAGACTGACTTCATTGCTCCTTAGCACTCTGAGTCCTTTGATAGAAGACTTACTCTGTGCAGTTCATCTTTTGATTTCCTGACTGCTGGTGCCAAGTAGCCACACTGAAAGGATAGAAAGAATGGTGTGGGGCGTTGCGCTTCCAACCTCTCCAGCTTTGTGAATCTACCAGGGGCTTCAAGGGAGGAAAGTAGACAGTCACCTCCTAGGGATTTACAGCCTCAGAAGCCCAGTGGAGGATCAGTCATGAGTCGGTTCCAACTCAGTGGTAAAGAGAGAAAGAAAACAAATTCAAAATGCGGTTCCAACTCAGTGGTAAAGAGAGAGAGAAAACAAATTCAAAATGCCGTTTGATGATGCGGTCAGTATAAAGCAGCATGAAGTATCTGTACATCTGCATCTTTTATTCACCTGAAGCCGTGCATGTCCAATGTGTGTCGTTCTTCCTGGCACACCTGCATTTACACTGGGCTCACCTTGTTGAAGTTCCCCTTTTGGGCAGCACGGGGTTAAGGGCTCTCTGAGTGGCCTGATCCCGGCGTCCCCGGAGTGGCCATCACACTCTGCCATGCTCTCTCCTCTCTGCACGGCTGTCGCTGAAGCAGCTTCCTCTCTCCTCCTCTTTCTCTAGCTTGGCCCCCGAGTCCCCATCCCTGGACAGCAGCACCACCTCAACACGGAAGCAGCCCCCCAGCAGCCGCTTGTCCTCGCTGTCCTCCCAGACAGAGGTCACCTCCGCCGGGGACCCGAACGATGGCTCCCGGGGCCAGCGGAGCACCAGCGTGGACCGCTCCAGCACTGACCTGGACTCCACCGATGGGACAGACGGGCTGGCCGCGCCGGACGCCTTCCCCAGGCCAGGGGCAGACGACTTCTCCTTCCTTGATGTAAGTTGGTGCTATAACTGGTCATTTCTCCCCAGGGACTGACAGGTGACGTAGATGAGGACCCCACGGGACAGACTGGCCTTGTGTTTCCCCAAACCTCTGAGCATCACAGTCTATCCAGGTTGGCACAGAAAATAAAGCCTTAAAGGGGACATCTTTTGGGCCTCCCGTCCAGCACCTCCTGTGTCAGACCTGTAAGGTGGGATCCCTGCGAGGCAGCCTCTGATAGGCTGACATGCACATGCCCTTTGGGATAGTGGACACCTGCTGTGTGTCATGGCATCTGTGTCTCAGCCTCTCTGGTCCTCAGCTTCCTTATCTGTTGTAACACACGTGATGGGCTCCACAGCCTCAGTGATAAACACATGTGTTCAGTTTAAACTGGTCCCAGTCCTCATCTGCCAGATGTGGGGGCAGTCTCACAGGGCGAGTGGGGGAGTCTGTCTGAGCTTTATGTATCCCAGCGTGAAGGGCATGGGGTTAGCTCAGACCAATTTCTCCAGGATATTCTCACCAGAGTCTTTATTTGCTCAGTGGAAGCATCCGTGGTTCTGGAGGTCCAGTCTGCCCCAGGCAGGAAAGGGGCCCCTAGCTCAGTGCTTTGCAGTTCCCAAACTCAGTCACCCTCTGGCTGTGAGCCTTGCAGGAGCCCCCACTCCACGGCCTCATGCTTTGCCAGTACTGACCAGAACCTGTCCTGCCCCTGCTGGGGACCAGTCCTCCAAGACCACGCTGAACCTCATGACCGCCTTTCCCGGTCAGCAGTGCCACCTGCCCATCCTTCAGAGTACCCAGCAAGGACTGTCTCTCTTGGTGTGGTCACCCAGATCACCTCCAGGGGAAGAGCTGCCCTCACTGGGCAAGGGGACAGCTCTCTGTCCATTCAGACCTCCCTTAAGTGATGGGCTGTTGACAGTAATGTTTTGCCATTGAGTTGACTCATAGCCGACCCTCCAGTGAGTTTTCCAAGACGGTAGATTGCACGGGAGGAGATTACCCATCATTCTCTTGATGAGCAGCTGGCGGATTCGAACCTTGTGCCTTTAGGATTGCAGCACAGCTTCTTAACTTCTTTCTTAGGCCCCCCCCCCGCTCCCTTAACACATTGCCGCACACTTTTAAATTGATGACTGTGCTTAGAAACACATTTGCCGTCATTTGCAGCAATGTGTTAACCGATGAGTAGTGCCCCCAGTTGATGGTCCTCTCATTTTTGTCCCCCATCTTCCTCTTCCACCATCCCTAAAGCAAACCCCCGTCCTCGACTCAAGTGCCCTGAAGACCCGCGTCCAGCTCAGCAAGAGGAGGCTCCGGCGGGCCCCCATCTCCCACTCCCTGCGGCGCAGCCGGCTCAGCGAGTCCGAGAGCAGGTCGCCGCTGGAGGAGGAGCTGGACAGCTCGTGGATGTTCAAGGACTCCACAGGTACAGCGGCCCTCCCTCCCCGCCAGACGGCAGGGGAAACCACGGCTGAGCTTCCTGCCATCTGACGCCCGGAAAGCCCATCCTGGAGACAGACTGGAGCAAAACAGAAAGAAAAAAACCAAAGTTTTATTATAGACTGACATACAGGAGACAGGCCTCTGAGCGTCCCAAGTCGGTCTCCCATCTTCTTTGTTTTTCTTTTTTTATTTTAATGAAAATTTACAGAGACTTTGGATTTCCATTCATTCATTGTGGCACTTTTCTCCCTGTACACCCCTCCCCTCCAATTTGTTTTTCTCTTGGAAAAGTAAAAGAAAAATTCTTTCATTGTTTTACAGTCACTTCCCCCAAGTCCACTCCACTATGCAGCCTTCATTCTGGACTCCTGTCATGACAATAATACCTAATCACATATCCCTTTTAAACAGTTTTCTCCCTCATCTGTTTCAATGCAGTATACGTTATTGAACCCATCTTTCTCAGTCTCCCCCAAACCCCGAGGTCAGTCCCTTTTTACAACAGTGGTACCATGCAGTATTTGTCCTTTTGTGACTGAGATACTTCACTCAACATAATGTCCTCCAGGGCCACCCGTTTTGAATAATATTGCATGAGTTCCTTGTTTTTCAATGCAGCATAGTATCCCATTGTGTGAATATACCATAGCTTCTCTATCCATTCGTTTGTTGATGGGAACCTGCATTGTTTCCAACTCCTTGCTATTTTGAACAAAGCCGCGATAAACATGGGTGTGCGTATATCTGCTTGGGTGTCAGTTATGATCTCTTTAGGGTATATTCCCAGTAGTGGAATTGCTGGGTCAAATGGTATCTCTACTTGCAACTTTTTGAGAAAGCGTGTGTCCCATCTTAAAGACTGTCATTATTGCTAAGTACTACTAAAAAGCTGACTCATAACTGAGCCTCCAGCATGTTTTCAGAGGCTGTAAATCGCACGAGAGGAGATTGCCCATCTTTTTCCTGTGATTGAGATCTCATTTCCCGGGAGAGGGAGAACCGTATCCAAGGAGGGTGAAGGACAGTGGGATGAGTGATCATGTCCCTGACTAACTGGCCCAGTCTCATCAGAGTTCTTAATTCTGGGTCAGTTGTCTGTTCTAGGCAGCACTGGTGAGACAATGACACAGCAGAGGACCTGGCAGTAATAGGTCCTCAGTTAACAGCCCCTGTCAGTGACACCTGTGTCCTTCTCTTTGCAACAGAAGAGAAATCTCCCAGGAGGGAAGAATCCGATGAGGAGGAGAAGCTGCCCAAGGCTGGGAAGACGCCGGTCAGCCATCCTCAGAGGACGCCTGCCGTGCCGGGCATGGATCCGGCCATGCTCAAGGTACCGGACTGCTCGCCCAGCGTGGAGAGCTGGCTCGCCGACATCACATCGGCCCCAGCTCACACCCACAAACAGAACAGAAAGCGCCTGGCCCCTTGCCACCCCGTAAATTGGCCATCCATTGTGATCAATAGTCTTTTCACTGGCTTAATGCCTTCGTCTGGAAGAACCATTAAAAGCTGTTCTGAGTTGTAGCTACAGGGCTGCCTGCACAGAGCGTGAGGTACACTGGCCAGCGTGGTTCCCGAGCCTCCTTCCAGGAACTGACCCATAGCTGACCCTCCGGCAGGTTTTCAGAGGCAGTTAACCGCACGGGAGGAGATTGCCCATCCTTCTCCATGGAGCGGCTAGTG